GGGGGCATCGGTCTAAGAGGACGCTGCTGGTGGACACGCCGTTCTTCCCCAGGTTCCTGTGGTCACAGAAGGGGGGGGGGGGGTCAGGCTGGGGAGAAACACCTCCCCTCTGGGGGCCACACTGGACCTCTACCCTGCAGGGGCATGGTTCTGCCACCAGGGGGCAGCATGGCTCCTGGTGGCTAGCTCAGGACGCCATCTTTTCAGGTTAAAGATGGCGCCCTGCCGCTGTTAGAAAGCAAGCAGCTTATTGTTTGCTCATCATCAGACCCCTGACCCAACCGTATGACATCACACATTCCAACCAATCAGTGTCTGGCTCACCAGCAGAACCTCCTCTGGTCCATGAACGCCGAGGTGATCAACTTTCTGCAGCCGTTCAGCTCTAAGCTGCATCTGTGTCCCTCACACCTTTCCCAGCATAAGATACAAACCATAGGGGCCCCTTCATCATCATCACCATCACCATCATCATCATCATCATCACCATCATCACCATCACCATACCTGAAGGGGTCGTCTAAACTCTGTGGATCTCAGGTGTGAGATGGACAAACAGAAGGCTGGAAGAACTAGAAGATCCTCCCCCTTCATGCTGGTCATTGAAAAACTATCCGCCATCTTTGTTTTAATAATTCAATGTCTGAATAGATCAATCAGTTTATGATTAAAAAGTCGACTTCTGTTTGCATGTCTAAGATTAATCAGAGACTCCCAGACCCCCCCCCGTCCAGCAGAGAGACACAGTCCCTCCATGGTCCTGGTCCTCCTCCTGGTGGGACGTCCCAGGATCTCCTCAGAGGGAGATAAAGATGCCTGATCCTCCTCAGCTGACTCCTCTGAAGGAGAAGCAGCTCTTCTCTGATCCTCCCCCTTATGACCCAGCTCCTCCCCCTCTCTCTGAGGGAGAGCCCAGCCTCCCTGCAGAGGAAGCTGGGATCCAGGATCTGGTTCTCTGGGTCCTGATCCAGATTAATGACGGTAGGTGAGGGAAGGAAGGTAGAGCGAGCGCTGAATCAGAGCTTTGCCTTTTCTCTCAGCTCTCTGATCCACAGCAGGCGGAGCAGCGTCTGGATTATAGCAGCAGCACCGACCCGTCTATAGATCTCCACCTCTCTGAGGGACAGGAGCCCAGGATACTGGAACTCTGATCTAACCTGAAGGGGACGGGCCTCCTTTCTCTGGACTAGAACCAGAACCATCAGACTTGGAGGAGCTGACCCTCATCCTCACTTCCTGCTGCCGGTCTCTGCAGGAAGCAGCCATCAGTACATCATGTGCATAAAGCAGGGAGGAGATCGGCTGGTCGTACAGCAGACCTGGAAAAGGGCCCCTGACTCCGTACTCCTGACGCATCATGAGGATCAGTTGGGCAAACTCCCATGAAACCTGCAGAGCTGGTAGAGCTCCACGACCAGGAAGATCCTCCTGAGGACCAACCATCAGCCGGTCTCTCCTCTCCAGGACGCCGCCTTGGCCTCCTGGCTGAGAAGTGACATCCTACTACAGCTGGAACACACCCTTAGCAAAGCTCTGCTCCCCCCTCCAGAGACGGCGGGAGATTTGTGAACAATCAACAGTCTCTCTGTGACTCTCCACAGTTTTATGCCTCTGCACCCCCCAGGCAGCAGCACGCTTGGCCTCATGATGCTGCAGGAGTTCCCCAGCCAGCCAGGACTCTGCAGGCATCCCTTACTGCTGGCGCCTGTAACCATGACTGAATCGTCACGGTTACAGGCGCCGCAGACCTTCCAGCCACACCTCTGGGCGGCAGCGTCGACAGTGGAGGCAGAAGTTAAACATCGCTGACCGAGGGCTCCAGCAGACGTTCCTAGCAGACCCTCACTACTGGGTTCCACCTGCTCCGTCTGTCCAGATTCTTCAGTACCTAAAGAATCTAAAGAATCTAAATCCTGAAGGAATCTCTGAAAGTTTTCTGTTTCAAAGCAGCTGAACAACCAGGAGGATTTCAGGTCCAAAGCTTCCTGCAGACTTTCTGCAGCCTCCGACTCGCTGCGTCCACGATCACCCGCACTGATCAGACAGCGCTGAGCTGGGAAAGGACTCGTCTCAGTCTGCTGACAGGAACCAGAACCAGAACCAGAACCAGAACCAGGCGGAGCAACCACAACCAGAACCAGAACCAGAACCAGGCGGAGCAAACACAACCAGAACCAGAACCAGAACCAGGCGGAGCAACCAGAACCAGAACCAGGCGGAGCAACCAGAACCAGAACCAGAACCAGAACCAGGCGGACACAGCTGGTGGAGCATCTTCTCACCTGCAGGCTCTGAGCACGTCACTAGAGCTGGGATAGATGGAGACTGAAGACCAGGGAGTCAGACCAGCAGGGGGCGTGTTCCTCTGAGGGCTCCTAAAGTCCTCGGGGCCCCTCCCATTCAGAGGGGGGCCCCTCCCATTAAGGCAGCAGGGGGTGCTGGCGGGGTAAGGAGACAGAGGAGAGGACGCCGCCGAGAGCTCCGCCTTGGCGCGGAGAGCAGCGTGGACGTTGTTGACCTTCTCTGAGGAAGACGCTCCGTGGTGACCCTGCTCGTTGTCATGGTTACTGGCTTTTTCCTTTCCAAAGGCTGAGAGTTGAGGATTGTCTGAACTGAGCGCTGCGGGGGCAGGAGAGGCGGGCTGGGACAGGCCGGCAGAGCGCCCCGGCTGGACGTGATTAGTGGATCCCTGCCGGGGGGCGGAGCCAGGACTGGGCGGCACCCCTCCATGATGGCCAACGGCGGCGGGGACGACGCTGCCGTTTTCACCCCTGGAAGGTGTTGCTTCTTTGGTGTGGAGCCCTGAGGTAGTAGCTGAGTGGAGGGGGGAGGACTGGGGGGAGGTGGGGGATAAGGAGGAGGCCGAGGAGGAGGCAGTGCAGGGCCCAGAGCAATGTCCCACCTGACTGAGAATGACGGAGGAGGAGAAGGGGGTCTGAGAGGGGGGGGAGGAGGGAGGTTCTTCATCAGGACCTGCTGAATGTGAACCTTGACCTTTATGGAGCCCCTGGTGAGAAAACGACAAAACAGATTCACACCTTTAGAGGAAAGCAGCTGCCTGACACCTGACACCTCCCACTGTGGGTTTATGGGACTTTATGCTAAACATGGAGGAGGCAGGTAAGCTATGGCAAGCCATTTTAACATTTATTAGAAGAGCTGTCCTCTCCAAGATTCTTCCTGGTCAAAACTACATTCCTACTAGCCAGAAACGCACATATAGATATCCCAGATTCTGCCAGCAGACATTAAATCTAAGGCTGCCAAAAACATAATTGTACTAGTAAGGATAAACTTTCAAAGGGTTACACGTTTTAAGCAGCCCTTTCAACATTTATTAGCTTGATTGAATATATATTCCAGAGGTCTCAAATGCATTTCTTTCCAGTCAAAATGAACATTTCAGATCTCTAAAATAACATTCCTACCATCTAAAATATACATTCCAGATGTCTGAAATGTAATTCTTATTAGTAAAAATTTATGACCAGTAAAGATTGGATTCATTTTTAGACATCCAGAATGTTTATTCTAGATAGGAGTGATGTCATTTTGGAAATCTGAAAGTCACGGCTCATTTTTAACAGTAAGAATTACATTTCAGATTATTTTAGGATTACTATTAAATATATCTGAAATACAAGTAAATATACATTAAAACAGCAACTTAAAATTGGTACAGATTTGTAGATATCTGAAATGTAGTTCTTATCAGAATTAATCTTATTCCAGAAAACTTGCGGTTTGATTTCTGCTGGCAGTAAAGTAATTATTGATATCTAAAAACAATTCTGACTAGGAGTATTGTAATTGGGACTAGGAAGAATGCTCTAGTGCCATCTATAATAGAAATGTGACTAGGTAGAATGCTCTAATGCCATCTATAATAGAAATGTGACTAGTCAGCCTGCCTTTTTCATGTTACCTATAACTAAATTTTACATTTGCAATATTAAAATCGAGATTTCTGTAATTCTAATCTAACTAGTCCTGAAATAAGTAGTTGATATCTGTAATGAAATTTCTACTAGCAGAATGTTATTTAGAACTATCTGAAATAGTAATTATAACTAGCAGTAACTCTATTATAGAGATCTAAAACTAGATTTCACCCTCGTCAGAATTCAGTTTTAGAATGAAGAATGTTCTAGAAATCTTAAATGGAAGAAATGTATTTCAGACATCTGGATTATATATCCAGTCAAGCTATTAAATGTCTAAACGGCCTGCCATAGTTCGCCCTCTGGCCAGCTGGGGGAGAGGCGCCCTGGAAAAGCAGTCAGACTGCTGGTGAAGCCTTCCCAGTACATCTCCCCAGTCTGAACCAGTTAATAAATGCTGCTTGAATTTAGACCAGTGACCTCCTGAGACCTTTTATTGCTGATAACATTCTGCCAGTCTGATAGGAGGACGTCTACAGACCACCAGCAGGTCTCTGACTGGCCTAGTCAAAGCCCAGCTCTGAAAGCGAGCAGAATCTAGAATAGATCTAATAGACGCTGAGTCGTGAGGATGGTGAAGATGAAGCTGCTCTCTGACACCTGCGTACCTGAGTGCTAGTGTCGTGTTGCTGGCTCCTCCAGGTCTCTGCCTGACTGGGACTAGTATTAGTGCTGCTGGTGGTGCTGGGCTGACTGGTGTGAGGTAGAGAGTTCTGCTGCGGGTAAGGCACG